GTAGGCAAAGAGGCAGGCAGAGAGAGGAGGAAGCAGGCACCCGCTGAGCAGAGAGCCTGATGCGGGGCTCGATCCCAGGACCCTGAGATCATGACCTGAGCCGAAGACAGAGGCTTAACCCACTGAGCCACCCAGGCACCCCTGAAAATATGTTTTTTGAGTTTATTTCTTTTTAGTTATCTCTATACCCAGTGTGGGGCTCGAACTCACGACCCTGAAATTAAGTGTGGCATGCTATTCCAAATGAGCCAGCCAGGCGCCCCCAAAATATTTTCCTTTCTTCAAAGAGAATGAAAAGGCATGTGGCCCTTTCCTGCTACTTGAAAACCAAGGGTTTTCAAGCTAAGTCCCCAGGGAACCCTAGGGGTTCCACACACCCCCTGCTTTTCCCCTGACCTATAGACAGAGATGCCCACTTCTGTGCCTCTCCAAAGTTTTTATCTGAAAAATTCTGAGACTGAAAGATTTGAAGGCTCAGAGCTCTCAACCAAATGACTCTTGCTGTGTCCCGAGCTACCTTGTATCCAAGCTGTGTCTCGGGGTCTTCAAGGAAGGGAGTCTGTGAAATTTGTTTATGCCAACCAGACTCTCTGCCTTTCTGCCCACTGGTTTTCTTTCAGTTCCTCAAAGCTGGTGCACACTGTCCTTCCCCAGGGCCTTGGGACATGCTGTTCTTTCACCCAGAATGCCCTCCTGACTGGTTCTCCTGCTTAACTCTTGCTTACCCTCCGCTCAGCTATCTCTTCCTCCATAAAACCTCCTTGGATTCTCCCAGTGGGGGCCACATTCTTCTGCCAGAAGTTCTCCCAGAACTCGATTCCTCTCCTCCATGGCAGAGATGACTGATGGAGGGTGAGGTTAATTGAGCTCTCTCTCGGTGTCTGTCTTCCTCCAACAGACAGGGCAAAGTGCGTGAGGGCTGGGGGTGGGGGTCCCCTTGCTCCCCACGGCAGGCACGATGCATAGCATCACATCTGGCACATAGTAACTGCTCAATAAGTATTGTCTACACTTTGGCCCTGTGTACACGGTTGTGCTTACACAGGGATTTGACACACACACATCACTTTTACCGAAATACAGCAGGCATACAGTGTGCAGATGTAAGTGTGTGCCCGAATTTTCACTAGCTTCCCATTTTCCCTCACTCCCCAGGGAACTTCCAGCATCATCTCCAACAACATAGATTAATCGGTCTTCCTTCTTTCCTTTCTTTCTCTCTCTCTCTCTTCCATCCTTCCTTCCTTTCTTTTCTTTCTTTCTTTTTTTTTTTTGAGAGTGAGCGAGTGTGTGGGGGAAGTGGTGAGAGGGGTGGTGCAGAGGGAGAGGGAGAGAGAGAATCCCAAGCAGGCTCCACACCAGCACAGAGCAGGACACAGGACTCGATCTCAGAACCCTGAGATCATGACCTGAGCAAAAATCAAGAGCCGGACACTCACTCCACCGAGGCACCCAGGTGCCCTGTCCCGGTCTTTTTTAATAAATGAATTTGTGAAGTTAATGTTCTTTTCTGCATCTGGATTCTTTTGCTCACAATTATGTTGGAGAGAATCATTCAGATTGTTACACGCAGCTGCCACTTATGATCTCTCATTCACACTCTGTGCTACTCTCCAGGGATGGTCAATTTTTTTTTTTTTCTGTAAAGGGCCAGATGGTAGCTGGGGTCACCTCTGCAGGGCATCGTCTCTTTCACTGACTTAGGAAAGCAGCCTCAGACCGTCTATAAAAAAGTAGGCATGGCCATACTCCAAGAACACTTTATTTGTGGGCACTGGGATTTCAATTTCATGTCCTTTTCATATGTCACTGTTAAATTTTTTTTTCCCAATGATTCAAAAATGTATGAACTTTTGGCAGCTCCTTGAAAGTTAAGCACAGAATGGCCATAGGATCCAGCAAGCCCACTTCTGGATGTGTACCCAAGGGGACTGAAAGCAGGGGCTCAGAGATGCTTATTACATTCCAAGGTTTACAGGGGTGTCATTGAGAGAGGTGGAAACAACAGAGCAAGTTGTAAGTAACAGAGGAATGGATAAACAAAATGTGCTGTGTCCCTACGATGGAATATTAGCCATGGAAAAGAATGAAGTTCTGACCCCTGCCACAACCTGGATGAATCTTGAAAACATTTATGCTAAGTGAAAGAAGACAGACACCAAAGGATAAGTATTGTGTGATTCCGCCTACTTGAGGTGTGAACAGACAAAGTCACAGAGACAGAAAGTAGATGGTAGAAGCCAGGAGCAAAGGGGGATAGTGAGTTAGTGTTTCAGGGCAACAGAGTTTCAGTTTGGGAAGATGAGAAAGTTCTGGAGACGGATCATGGGGTTGGTTGCACAACAGTGCGAGGGTACTTAATACCAGTGGTCTGTACATTTAAAAGATGGTTAAAATGGGGCATCTGGCTGGCTCAGTCGGTTAAGCGTCTGCCTTCGGCTCAGGTCATGGTCCCAGGGTCCTAGGATAGAGTCCCACGTGGGGCTCCTTGCTCAGCAGAAAGTCTGCTTCTTCCTTTCCCTCTGCCTGCCGCTCCCCTGCTAGTGCTTGCGCGCTCTCTCTCTCTCTGTCTGACAAATAAATAAAATCTTTTAAAAAATTTAATGTGAGGGGCACCTGGGTGGTTCAGTGGGTTAAAACCTCTGCCTTCGGCTCAGGTCATGATCTCAGGGTCCTAGGATCGAGCCCTGCATTGGGCTCTCTGCTCAGCGGGGAGCCTGCTTCCCTTCCTCTCTCTCTGCCTGCCTCTCTGCCTACTTGTGATCTCTGTCAAATAAATAAATAAAATCTTTAAAAAAACTTATTGCGAAATGTATTTTGCCACAACTTAAAAAATCGATTCATACTAAAAACAAAACCCCCCAAAACGAAAATGTAAAAACCATTCTTATCTCGCGGGTTGCGTAGAAATAGACAGTGGGCCGGCTTTGTCCCATGGGCTGCAAGTTTGTCACCGTCTGTTGCAGACTGTTCCATTGAAGGAAAAAGAAACATGATTTTATCCATTCTATTGTTGATGGGCATTTGGGTGTGAACACGGTATGCAGTTCTCACATGGGGTTGTTTTGTTTATGCTTCTGTGCAAACTCCAGTTTCTTTGCCCGTCCCTGGGACAAGGGCTTCTGAAGTCATCCCCCAGGCACTACCTCCTGGACCAGTCCCAGCCCGGATGTGAGAAGGGTGGGCTCTTGAATGGGGAAACTGTGGCACGGAAGGGGGGAGCAGAGCTTCCTACCCCTTGGCCCCTAGAGTCTGCCCTGGGGGCTTCCTCTTGGCCCCGGATGTGGGATGGGAGGGCCAAGGGGGGCAAAACACCCAGCCAAGACAGGAAGCTCCATGTCCAGAAGCCTTAAAGAGGGAGATGCGGCAGAGGCATGAAATCAGTGCCTGAGATTTGGCCTGCTGAGTCCATCCCGAGGGTAAGTGAACCCTGCTCCGGCTCAGCCCAGAAGCCCATCCCGGGGGGGCCAGGACAAAGCTGGGACTCCAGTCTCGTCCCCCACAGGGACCCAGGATTCCATATCCCACCCGCTCTGGACGCTTGACCCTCCCCAGATGAGAAGGGACTGACCCAGCTGTGGGTTCCCTCTTTCAGCAGCTGCAGGATGAAGGCTCTTCCCTTCCTCCTGCTCCCAGTCCTGGGGCTGCTGGTGTGTGGCAATTCTCTGTGTCCCGTGGATAAAGCCATCAATGAGAAGATCCAGGATGGCGTCCCATCCTTAAGTGAGGACCCTCACTCAACCTCAGCGGGGGCCCCTCTAATTCCGGACACGGAGCAGCCATCAAGCCAGCCCCAACCAGAACCAAACCTCCACCCCAAACCCAACCCAACCCAACCCAGCCCAGCCCCAGCCCCCATCTAGAGGCACCTACCGCAGAGGCTGGGAATATCCTCTTTCCTCTAAACACCCATTTCAAGACGGAACCTGGGAGGTGGTGGGCTCCCCACTTCATGGCTCTCTACAGGGCCTGGCCCACCTGGGCCTTCCTCAGAACAGTTTTCTTGACCCCTGCCTATCTCCAAAACACCAGGGCTAGGGCCTCAGGAGGATGGGGGAGGGGCAGCCTGGTCTCACAGCCGCCTTCCCTCCTCCCTCCCTCCCGCAGTTCTCGAGACAATGAGGAACTTTGGCCTGACCTGCCGGAGTGTCACCTCCAGGGGGGACCTCGCCACCTGTCCCGCAGGTGAGTTTCGAGTCCTTTTCCCAGCTCTCACTTCTGTTCCCCACAGGCAGGAACCCTTCCCCCTAAGTCCAGCCTCTAGTTCTTTTTCTTTTTTTAAGATTTTATTTATTTGAGAGAGAAAGAGAGAGAGAGAGCGCGAGCGCACAAGCAGGGGGAGGGGGAGAGGGAGAAGCAGGCTCCCCGCTGAGCAAGGAGCCCCATATGGGACTCGATTCCAGGAGCCCGGGATCAGGACCTGAGCCGAAGGCAGCCACTTAATCGACTGAGCCACCCAGGCGTCCCAGGCTCTGTTTCAAGTAACTTCCCCAGAGTCCTGGTCTGCCACGCTAGCCTCCCCGCCCCAACGCCGAGACTGCATTTCCTCAGGACACTGGCGTCCAGGGCCCCAGCCTCCCTGCGCTCCACACACCCCGGCTCCCACGCTCTGGTGTTGGAGACCCTCCCGCCTCCGCTTCCCCCAGACCCCCAGGCCCGCAGCCTCCCGCTCGGGTCCAAACTCCCTCCGCTCCCGCCCGCAGGCTTCGCCGTCACCGCCTGCACTTGCGGCTCCGCCTGCGGCTCGTGGGACGTGCGCGCCGAAACCACGTGCCACTGCCAGTGCGCGGCAATGGACTGGACCGGAGCTCGCTGCTGTCGCTTGCAGACCGCCGCCTGAGGTCCCCGGGGAGCGCGGGCGGGGCTGGGGGCGTGGCCAGGCCTCGGAGGGGCGGAGTCAGGCCTCGGAGGGGCGGGGTGGAAATAAACCCTGAGAAGATGATGGTGAGGGTCTGCGCGCCCTGCTGTCGTTTGTTGGAGGGGTGGGGGACTGAGCTGGCGTCTCTGAAATGAGCCGGGCACGCAGACGCTGGAGGAAGGCGGTGGCTGTGGGCGTCCGTGACTTTCTTCTGCCCATTTATCTCCTCCCACGTTGTGCCTCCCCCTACCGCATCTCCGAGAACAAGGACTCTGCTTCCTCTAAGGACACTCACACCCAAGGATCATGGACTCCTTCAGGAGGGGAAGTGAGCGTTACCTCTGAGGCCACCTTGACGATCCCTCGGGTCTCTGGTCTTCCAGGAAGTCATTGGGTCAGTCTGTCCCAGCCTCACAATGAGGCTTCATTCGGGGTCTGGGTCTGTATGGGACAGGGACCCCTGACCTCCCCCCAACCCCCTGCATACTTCAGGGCCAAAGACCCCAGTAGCCCCAGGGTCATGGTGGACCCCTGAGTCATCTCTCAGCCCAGAGCCCTGAGCCACGATCCCTCATTCCCCAACCTCATGGAGAGACCTGCACACACTACATATACGTATGTACACAGTACACAACCCAGTCATTATGGTCACACAGGGACACAACATGCCCGCAGACAATGCCCCTGAACCACATAAGTATGGCCATAGAAGAAGAAACATAGACCACAAACATGTAAACCCTGGACAGAGTCTTTTGCTTCTGACATCAAGTTCCCACCCCCACCCGGGTGGCTTTGGTCCCAGTCTGAATTCTGACCTGGAAGGCAAGTCACCTGCAACCCTTACACAGCTTCCTGGTGGGCACAGATCCCTGGGAACCCTAATCCAAGGGTCTTAAAATCCAGCCCCTGAGAGATGCAGACAGACCTCAGAGCACTCGGTGTGCAGTCTTGAAAGGGACCCCAGACTCAAATGCCCCAGCCCCCAGCAGCACACTCCAGGGACTGGAGCATGGGTGATGGGGTGGGATCCTGGTTTTCAAGATGTTTTAGATGCTCCTGGAGGGAGGCAGTGGCGTAGGGCGCCCGTGACTTTCTTCTGACCACCCCTCTCTCCCTATGTTATGCCCCCACCTCTGCCACCCACCCCCTGTGATGACATAGCCCCCTGTCTGATTCAGGTAGCCATGAGCTGAGGTCACAAACTCTCCTCTTGTCCCTGGAGCCCACCTATACCCCAATCTAGAGATTCCCCTCCTGTATCCACCCCCCTGACCCCACAGTGGCCATGGGGTTGAGGTGGGACAATTGAGTCAGAAGTGTGTTGAGTAGCAGAAAGGGTCTAGAACCTCACCTGTCCCACCCCCTCACTGATGTGGAGGGGGGTGCCCTCCTTTGTCCCCAGACTGATTGGAATGCCTCTTTATCTCCAAGCTCCACTCAATTGTCCCCCTGTGTCTGGCCCCAAGGAGGTCCTTTTCAGAGCGCTCATTTCCAGCATAGTCATTCTCCTGTCCCAGGGTGCAGACCTGGATAGGCAAGCTCCCTTCTCAAGCCTCCATTTTCTCACTTGTCAACTGCCCAGCCCCCCCTGAGGTAGCCAAGATTCTTCTAGTCGCAAGTGTCTCAAACCTCACGTAAAGAAAGCTTGAGCAAAAGTAAAAGGAAGTTCCTGGGGGCGCCTGGCTGGCTCAGTCGGTGGAGCATGCAACTCTTGATCTTGGGGTTGTAAGTTTGACACCCATGTTGGCTGTAGAGATTACTTAAAAATAAAATCTTTTAAAAAGAAAAAAAAAGAGAGGAAGTTTATGGATATGTAACTGAGAGGCCCAGGGTTAAAGATTTATTTATTTATTTTAGAGCGAGAGTGCGCTGGGGAACGGGGCAGAGGGGAGCAGAGGGAGAGGAAGAGAGCGTCTACTCTCAGTGCAGAGCCTGAAGCAGGGGTCGATCTCACAACCCTGATATCACGGACCTGAGCCAAAACGAAGAGTCTGATGCTGGTGGTCCCAGGCAAGCCCAGAGACCCAGGGTTAGAAACGACAGATTCAGGTATGGGTGGATAGAACCCTCAAATGATATCTCCAGGATCTGACTCCCTCTCAGCTCTGCTTTCCTCAATGTCTTCTCTCTCAAGCGGGTTCTCCCCCAACACAGCTGCAGGCTTACATTTTCCCAGGCTGAGAGCCCCCTGTGGGGGGAGAGGGGGGAGGAATGGCCTTTTCCCTGGTTAATGCCGCAGAAGTCGCAGGCCTGAGTTTCATTGGCTGAATCTGGTTCCTGTGCCCACCCCTGTGCCAAATCTTTGACTCTGATTGGCTGGGCCTGGATCATGTGCCCACTCTAAACCAATCACAGGTTTATTGTTAGCTGGGCTGGAGACGCATATTATTTTCTTAAAAGAAAATTGAAACTGTGACCCTATGACAGGGCTGGTCAGGAAACCTCACAGAGCCCTCTCGGGCCACTGTGATTGCTCGTGGGCCTCCAGGTGCACAACTGCTATTTTGTCCAAAGGGCTGATGGAGCCTGTTCTTAGCTTCAAGCACGTACAGAAATGGGCAAGGCTGCGGCCCCACCCCCTGCGCCTGTCCATCACAGCAGAGCCGGCTGCCCATTGGTCCGTCTCCTCTGTGACTGTTAGGTCAGAAGAGGGTCTTATCTCTCAATCCTGACTTTCTAAATAATCAGAGGGAGGAGAGGGCCGAGAGAGAGACTGTCAAAGTGGTTCTCCTTGAGCCGGCAAAGTTGGCAGTAGTTTAGAAAACAGAGCATTATCCTCATCAAACCCTGGGGGACCATTCCAAAGTTATCTCAAATTTAATCACATATTTAAAAGCTAAAACATACCTACTTCTCCCACATGGACAGTCCTTTTAAGGGGGACCTGGGTGGCTCGGTCAGTTAGGTGTCGGCCCTCCGTTCAGGTCGTAATCCCGGCAGTGGCTCCCCACTGAGCAGGGAGCTTGCTTCTCCTTCTCCCTCTGCCATTTCTCCCCATCCCCTCTCGCTTGTGCTCTATTTCTCTGTCAAATAAATGAATCTTTTTTTAAAGTCTTTTAAACGATCTTGTACTTATTTTTTCCAGAGGGAGAGAACCATGATAGTCTAGGCCAGTGCTCTCCAATATCGCATCCATCAAATGCTTGAACTGTCCTGTGAGTTTAAATCACGTTTGATTTTTGAAGATTTAGTACCCACAAAAAATAATATAACTCAATAAATTTTTTAAAGATTTTTTGTTTATTTATTTGACAGACAGATCACAAGTAGGCAGAGAGGCAGGCAGAGAGAGAGAGGAGGAAGAGGCAGGCTCCCTGCTGAGCAGAGAGCCCGACGCGGGACTCGATCCCAGGACCCTGAGATCACGACCCGAGCCGAAGGCAGAGGCCTTAACCACTGAGCCATCCAGGCGCCCCTCAATAATTTTTTAGTATCGCCTACATGCTGAAGTCATCACTTGGGGGGTATATTATGTTAAACAAGATACATTATTAAAATTAATTTAGCCTGTGTCTTTTTGTCTTCTTAACGTGGCTGCCAGAAAATTTTAAATTAAAGATGTGGTTTACATTACCTTTCCACCAGAAGGCACCGTTCTAAACTTAGAGAAATTCCCTACAAACTTGGTCTCATTTTTATCTCCAGTTTTCAAGGTCACAGACACAAAGAGAGCTTTAAGACCTCTAGAGAGAGCAGACACGTGAAGGCATGAATATGGGCGTTTCTCTGGGGGTAAACCCGTGTAGAAGCCTACCAATGGGCAAGCCACGTGAATACGTGAGCAGACGTGTGATGGTTTCTGGGAGTGTGTATGAGTGTGGGGAAGTGAGCAGATGTGTGGATGAGAGTGAATGTTTCCAAGTGTTCCTCTGTCTGGGGGCCCCGGGAGAGGGGACACCATGTCCAGGATTAGGTCAAGGGGTGCGTCTAGCCTCTGTTCCAGACATGGGTGGAGCTCCAGTGGCTGGTCCCCTTGCCTCACATCCGTTCCTGTCCTCCACGGGGCCTTGAAGAAGTAGAACTTCTTGGGGTGGAGCTGAGGGGTGGGACTGGGGCAGGGGGCAGGAAGATGTGGGAGACCTAGGAATCCTGCCTCCAAGTCCAGATACCCCAAACCTAAAAGGCAGGACTCCCAGGGGGGGCCAGATTCTCTCTTGAGAGGGGCAGGGGATGAAGGTCATATGGGTAGACACATACATAGTTTCCTGTAAAGTTTGTGACCATCCTTTAAAATTTTTAAAATTTATATATATTGAGTCTAATTGGTGTATAATGATGTGTGCGATTGAGGTATACAGGTGCGGACTTGATATATTTGTTTATTACAACATGATGACCGTGTAGCATTGACTAACATTTCTGTTGCTGGTTCCTGATTGTGGTGGTTCCTGTCTCTGGATCTATGGGCTTCTCCTGCTTGGCGCTCCCGGGGACCTCTGGTCTCCTAAGACCCTCTTGATCTGGGGTGAGGGGCAGTGAGGTTGTCCCAGGGCTGGAGGGTCCTGGATCACTGAAAAGAGGAGGCTGACCTCTCCTCCCCCTACCCCCAACCCACAGATTTCCTCATCTGCCATGACACCTTCCGGTGGGTGGGGATGTGTGTGGGCAAACTGGCAGACTGGGAACCATGGAGTCTGAGGAAATCTACACGAAGAAGAAGGTCAAGATGCAGGCGGTAGCCTTCAAAGATAAGAAACAGAGGGCTCCAGCCAATAAGGAAGGTTAGGCACCTCGGGGTGGGGAGGGGAGAGATCAGGTGGGAGAGATGGGGATGGGAGAGACAAGGGGATAGAAGTGGGGTCACAGCGCTCCTTCCCCACCCCAAAATGTATGTGTGCATGTGTATCCCCCAAACGCTCATGCATGCCTTCTCCACCTAACCAAGAAACAGATCACGTTTTCCCCATTCCTTATCTTTTATCCTCGGAAATTTGTCGTGTGCAGGGGTCTGGTGAGCCAAGAACTCTGAGCCCCCTTCCCACCCCCACCCCTGCCCCAGAGGTCCCGGCAGGTTTCCCCTCTCATTGACCCACCCACAGGTGCAGATAACCCTGACTATGAGAATATCACCTTGACCTTCAGAAACCAGGACCAGCTGAAGGGCAGGCATTCACCATCCAAGGATCAGCACAAGCAACCACCTGCCAACACACATCGTGCAGCCTTGGGAGGGGCCCATGGTAGGGCATCACGGGAACAAAGAGCACCAGGTGGAGGTCGGGGTCAGAGGTGGGGGGCATGGTGACATCAAGGTTTGTGTGTTAAAGGTCGGGGGCGGCGGCTTAGCTTCCCAGGTGGGGACGATGATGTTGGTGGTGTTGGCGTTGGCAGGAGTGTTGGTGAAGGTTTGGATGATGGTGATGGATTTGGATTTGGTGATGGCAGAGGGGTGGGCCTGGACAGAGCCTATGACCTTGCTGATGAGACCCGGTGCTGGGGACAGTGCTGACAACGGTATAGGCACTGATGTTGACGGGTGTGGTTGACAGCTACTGCTGACATCATGAGTGCTGGTAAAGGGGACGGTAAGGGGGCCGTGATGATGGCAGCATTAGGACTGCTGGGGCTCTGGTCAGTGTGCATGTTTGTGGTCACGGTGGCTAAGGTATTGGGAAGAGCAGGTGCAGGTGGTGTTAGAGTCAGTGCTGACGGGCTGGGTGGTGGTGTTGGGCCCTGGAGGTCACCTGTCCTGCCTCTACTCCAGTCCCCACCCTGTCTAGGCAGCCCTCAGACTCCGCCCAGGTCCCTCATTGTCTGCACAGAGCCCTTATGAGCCTGCACATCATTCTCATCCTGTCCTGTGTCATTCTCTTGGCAGTGGTCCTGGCAAAGAGTGAGTAGGGTTTTTGGTTTCAGGGTGTTTGTTGTTGTTTTTGTGTTTTTTGTTTTTGTTTTGTTTTGGTGGGGGGGCTGCGGCAGTGTGGAGGGGGTCCGGTCCTCAGGAGGTGGGGAGGCCCAGTGTTTCCGCCCTATCTCCCTTCTCCCTCGTTCCTCTGCCTTCCCCCACCCTTGTTCCCAGGACTGCAGGACTGGGGGCGCCTCAAGGCTTCTCCTGCCTCCCCTGCCCCTCCCCCTGAACAGATTCTGAGATGTCCCGGGAGTTGCTGGTCTTGAAGAGGGAGCTCTGGAATGGTGAGAGTGGCACCCGGAGGGCGGGGGGGAGGCCCCAAGGGTCCGGGTGGGGGTGGGGGGAGCAGCGGTGATAAGGACATGCGCGCTTCGGTCCTCAGTCTCCACCTTGGTGCGCGGGTGTCAAGAGGAGCAGAATCAGGGCTGGAGCTCGGTCCAGCAGCTCGTCATGGAGGCCAAGCAGGACATTAATGTGGTCAAGAGAGATGTCCAGGCCGAGAGTGATAAAGTGAAGACGCTATCAGCAGGTGTCCTGGCAGACCTTCACTGGGCGAAATTTGTCTCATGCTGGGTGCTGGGGAACTGGGGGCGGGGGCAGCAGCAGGGGTCCCACCCTCCCAGGGTGCAGGGGTTTAAAGGCACGATGGATGTCACCCCCTGAGTCACTCAGCAGATATTTAAATGCTGCTGGGAACACCAAGTACACAGGCCCCGCGGCACCCCAGACTGGGGGTCGGGCAGGGAGGAGACTTCCAATAAAGGTGGGGGCCTTGTGGGGGACCCCACACCAGCTTTCTCCTGTCCTCCTGCCCCCAGACATGAACCAAATCAAGCATAAGTTACAGGAAATCTCCAATGCACTGGAGAAGAAGAGCCCAAGCTCATGTAAGTTGGGGCTGGGAGGTGGGTGAGGAGGGAGCCACGGACTTGGTCCCAGTTTCCCTCCTGGGGGAGTGATCTGCCTGACCTTGGGTCTCCATCCCACACAGAGACCTCAACAGATGGGGAGACCTCGAAGACCCGGCTGCACCTCCCAGTGAAGCCAGCCACATGTGTGTATCATGGTGTGTTATGAGCGTAATGCATGACACAGTGGGTGGCTGTGTCAGCAAGGACCCCCAAAAGTGTGTCACTGTGAATGTGGGTGTTGGCAACATGGGGAGCACGGTGACCACATGTGAGTGTCCTGTGGTATGTTGTACAAATGTGTCCTGGTGGAGCTGTGTGGGGGGCACCCTGTGTGCCACTATAATTGTGGTGTCACCGCGTGTGCCGTCATTGCTTATGTTGGTGTGAACAGGCGTGTGCCAATATGTGTGACTGATCATGTCATCGAGGGTGTTCAGAGCCTGTACACATGTATGCCCCTTTGTTTCTGCACTCACGGTTTGTGATTTGTGAGGATAAAGACCGATGCAAAAGAATGTGGCTTTCAGATCTCATATTCGGAGCATCTGGGGCTTTGGGGGCCTGGTGGGGGAGGGTCTGGCAAATGTTGAGGGGTGGTGAAAGGCACACAGTGAGCATGCGGACGTGATCCCAGGAGCCCTGGGGCACGAGATTGTGCGGGAATGAATGCCCTGAGTGCATCGTCTGTGTCCATGAACATGTACCCAGGGGGTAACCTAGTCTCCCTGCGGGAGGCTGTGTGTCTGAGATAGACAGTGTCTCCCTAAGTGTAGGTGGGCCCACAGGTATATCCGAGCCCTTAAGCAGGTATCCTCGGGTGGAACTACGTTCCCACCGAGCGTGCAGCCCTGAGTGCAGACGTCCCTAAGTGCACAATGCCCCCGGCTCCTGGATGTATGTCCCTTAAGAGAACATGTACCCGAGTAAATGCACGGATTGCGTGTCCAAGGCGTAGTGGAGCCTCTAGGACAAATAGACATATGTGCCCTGAGACAGACATATGTGCCCTGAGACAGACATCCCGCTCCTGTTGGTCTAGGAGTTGGCCAACCCAAGCCAGCCCCGCCCCTGACCTCCGGGCCAACACCTCTCGGCGGACGCCCAGGAGTCCCAGGCGGACGCCCCTGACACGCGCGCCCCCTGGCGGCCGCGCTCTGGAATCTCCGCCAGCGCGCGCGCCCCGCCCACGAGCCCGTCCCGGTCTCAGCGCCTGCGCACTCAAGGCCTTTTACGGCGCCGTAAAGCAACTCGGCCAAACCGACGGCCGCAGTTCGCTGGTAAGACCCCCGCCCGCGACCACTACCTGCGCGGGGCCTGGCCCGCTCCGGGACCCCCAGCCTCCCGCGCGCCTGGGGATCCTGGGCGACGTTCCCGGCGTCCGCAATCCCCGGTCCGTCCGCTTCGGCGCACGCAAAGGGTCCGTGAGGAGGGTGCGTCCCTGTGGGTCCCTCCCCGGCCCCTCTGCCCGGTCCACGCTGGCGCGGGGGTCTCGGGATCCGACCTTTCCGCGGCTTAGCTTACCGGCTCCCATCGTGGCCTGGTGAGGGGGGCGGGTGCCAACACTCCCCTCCCATCTCTCGCGCTGGGCCCTCCGGGTGTAGAGGGATGCGCACCTGGGGACGTCTTGGAGCCCTGGAGTCCCCCCCTCGCCCCCGCCGCTCTTGTCTTCCCATTCCCCGCGCGGACCTCGTTGAGGACAATCCCATCATCCCCAGACCCCTCTGGCCCCCTCCTGCGCAGTGGGAACCGGGTTCTCAGCTCCTCCCGACCCCACCCTGGGCAGCGGCTTCACGCAAGAGTGGGCGAGGGTCGGGGGGGCGGGAGAGGGTGTCTCAGCGCCCTTGGAGTCCTCCCATCCGCTCCTACTCCTACACCCTCACCGCAGGTCAGCGTCGTGGAGGTCTCGGTGCCCCCTCCGGGTTTTCTCCAGTAGCCCCTTCCGGGTCTCTTCCGCGGACCCCTGGCTTGGTGCACTAGGATGGGAGGACCACAGCGCCCCCTCCTGGCTCCCCCGGAGCCCGGGTCTCCCTCCACCTTGTCTCCCACTGTCCCGCTACCGTTCTGGAGGGCACGGAGGTGGAGGGGTTCCCAACGCCTTCTCTGCGGCCGCCTCCAGTCTTCCTTACAAACGAAGGCCCACCCGCATCTTCAAGGAGGCGTGCTTCGTGCATGCCAGACGACCGCTGTCAGAGCCCTTTCCTCCTGGCTTGTCCCGTGTACTCCTCTGTCAGTCCCTGAAACCCCAAACCCTCTTGGCTGTTGGTCTTGACACACCCTACCCCCTCTCTGGTTTCTTTGGCCTTCCGCAGGGGAGAGGCGGGCAAGTTCTCTTCATCTGCAGGAAGTCAGCCCTGTGGCTGCTGGAGGCTTGTGGGGGACAGTGCCCAAGACTTCTGACGGCTCCCCCATCCTTGTCCTCTCCTTGCCCTAGGTCTGACGCCCCCTCCCCCATGCACTAGGTCTCTAGCTGCTCCCACAGGTGGCAGAGGGGGACAGGAAGGTGCTTTTCATGTAGGAGCAATCACCTGGAACTCGAAGGTGGGGATGGTGTCCGGTCACCCCTGTGGTCTCCCTCTTGTGTCCTCCCACCACGAAACCCTTTCTTTGCTAAAGGTGTAAACCTGCTACTTTCCCCATTTCCCGTCACTGGGGGAGGCGTGCTTTATGTGCAGGTGGGTGCCCCCTTTTCTTCCTCTCTTCTTTTCCTACACGGGACGCCGGCACTGGAGCACACAAAAAGGGTGCTCCCTCCCTCCCCCGACCCGTGTTTCCTTGTGTCCCAGCAGGGCGGCGGCGGCGGCAGCATGGAGGCACGCTTCACGCGAGGGAAGTCGGCGCTGCTAGAGCGCGCCCTGGTGCGGCCCCGCACGGAGGTGAGCCTGAGTGCCTTTGCGCTGCTCTTCTCCGAGCTGGTGCAGCACTGCCAGAGCCGGGTCTTCTCTGTAGCCGAGCTGCAGGCGCGCCTGGCTGCCCTGGGCCGCCAGGTGGGCGCCCGCGTTCTGGATGCGCTGGTGGCTCGAGAGAAGGGTGCCCGGCGTGAGACCAAGGTGCTGGGCGCTCTGCTGTTCGTCAAGGGTGCGGTGTGGAAGGCGCTGTTTGGCAAGGAGGCCGACAAGCTGGAGCAGGCCAACGACGACGCCCGCACCTTCTACATCATCGAGCGGGAGCCGCTCGTCAACACCTACATCTCGGTACCCAAGGAGAACAGCACTCTCAACTGTGCCAGCTTCACGGCGGGCATCGTGGAGGCGGTGCTCACGCACAGCGGCTTTCCCGCCAAGGTCACGGCACACTGGCACAAGGGCACCACGCTCATGATCAAGTTCGAGGAGGCGGTCATAGCCCGAGACCGGGCCCTGGAGGGCCGCTGACCCCACGGGAGATAAAGAAGGCAGAGCCTCCTTCCCAAACGTGTCTTGTGTCTTGTGTGGGGGCCTCACACGTCCACCCGACACCTTGACGCCGGTGCCTGCCTCCGGCTGGGGAGGGAGGCCAAGACCCACACGTTTATAGTACAGTGGAGGGGTGGAGGTGGGCCGCGTCCCACCCAGCCGGGCCTGGGGGAGGCCCGGGGTAGGCGTAGACTTGAGTCTGCAGGAGTTCCCCCGTGACTAGAGATGGGAGAACGCTGCTACTCTCTGTCCAGCTACCCTGTGGTGTAGACAGCAGTAGGTCAAGGATGGGGTACGGCTGTTTGCCTAGGAAGCACACACAGGGAGTAGGCAGAGAGGTGGCTGACGCCGGCTTTACACCCTTGCTCAAAGTGCGGTCCGCGGCGCGCAGCAGCGGGGTCTCCTGGGGGCTGGTCAGCACGCAGACCCTCAGTCTGCCACTGCGAGTCTGTGTCTTAGCAAGTTCCCCGGGGGATATCTGTGTACCTTATTTTGAGAAGCAGTGCCCTAGCACACACAGTGTGGTGCATTGGGGGTGCCCGGACCCCACCCCTGGAGTTTCAAAATTCTGCAGAGCTGGGCCGGCTGAGGATTTGCATTTCTTTTTCTTTTCTTTCTTAAAAGATTTTATTTATTTATTTGTCAGAGAGAGAGCGCGCGCGCATGAGCACACACAAGCAGGCAGAGGCCGAGAGGGAAGCAGGCTCCCTGCGGAGCAAGGAGCCCAATGGGCGACTCGATCCCAGGACCCTGGGATCGTGGCCTGAGCCGAAGGCAGCAGCTTAACCAACTGAGCCACCCAAGCATCCTAGGATTTGCATTTCTAACAAGTCCCCAAGAACTGCTGATGCTCCAAGGGCCGCACTTGGAGAACTCTAGAGACCTGGGGAAGTGGGTGGGCTCACTTCGGAATCATCTCGGTGCCTACGATAGTTTGAAGTTAATATCGATGATCAATGAACACATTTATGTTCCTTGTTCATTTTTTTTTTTAAAGATTTTATTTGAGAGAGGGAGAAGCAGACTCCCCACTGAGCAAGGAGCCTGATGTAGGTCTTGGTCTCAGGACCCAGAGATCATGACCTGAGCCGAAGGCAGTCACTTAACCAACCAAGTCACCCAGGCGCCCTTATTTTATTTTTATTTGAAAGATTTTGTTTATTTGACAGAGTGGGAGAGTGCGTAAGCAGGGGGAGGGGGTGGCAGACAGGGAGAGGGAGAGGCAGGTTTCTCAAGCAGGGAGCCTGATGCGGGACTCGATACCGGGGTCCTGGGGTAATGACCTGAACCGAAAACAGAGGCTTAGATGACTGAGCCACCCAGGTGTCCCTTTATTTTATTTTTAAAGATTTTATTTTTAAGTCCTCACTCAACAGGAGACTCAAACTGAACAACTCTGGTCAAGATCAAGAGTCTGCGTGCTCTACTGACCCAGCCGGCCAGGCGTTCTCGTGCGTTTCTTTTTCAAGTTTTTTTTTTTTTTTTTTTAAGATTTTATTTGGGGTGCCTGGGTGGCTCAGTGGGTTAAAGCCTCTGCCTTCAGCTCAGGACATGATCCCAGGGTCCTGGGATGGAGCCCTGCATGGGGCTCTCTGCTCAGCGGGGAGCCTGCTTTCTCCTCTCTCTCTGCCTACTTGTCTCTGTCTATCAAATAAATAAATAAAATCTTAAAAAAAAAGATTTTATTTATTTGTCACAGAAAGGGAGAGAGCACAAGCAGGCAAAGTGGCAGGCAGAGGCAGAGGGAGAAGCAGACTCCCAACCGAGCAGGGAGCATGATGCGGGGCTCGATCCCAAGACCCTCTTGTGTGTTCTTGTTTAAAAAGTAAAATCTGACACTTAAGGCAGCCGCTCCTTTCCCTTTGGCTCACCACCCTCCCTGAGTTCCTGATCACTTCTCCTCCCCAAGGTAAATCCTGCCAGATCTTTTTTTGTGGGGGCGGGGGGGGTGTCTTCAAATTTCCCTTCCTTCCTTCCCCTCCTTGCAGACTTGAACAAGTCTGTCGTGAAAGAGAACTTCGGGGCTGTCGGCTGGGTCCCCTCATTGAGGGTTTAGGGGTGGGGTGGATGCAGCTCTCAGTTGCTTTTGGGGGTGCACAGTGGAGGTCGGCATGAGGTGGGGAGAGCCCGGGTGCCGAGTCTGACCATGGGATGGGTCCAGTTCCTCCAGCGAGGGGTGGGGTAGGCCTCCGCCCCCAGCAAAGGACAGGGGCATTCACAGCCTGGATGGAACTATCAAGCACCTACCATGTGTAGCCCTGGTGACGGTCATGGGCAGGAAATAGCTGTTGGCTGGGCAAGTGGAGGGGCCCCTGAGGGAGCTGGGGGAGGGGGTGATCAGGGCGCCAGTCTGAATTTGGGGAGGGGGCAGTTTCTAGGAGGCCGACCAGGATCCAAGATGGGGAGTCCAGGAGGGTGGTCTAAGCCTCCATGCAGGGAGGGAAGTCGCAGGGAAGCCCATAGGATTGGAGGAGTGAGCTGGGGGAGCTGGGAAGCCAGGGGGAACTGCAGAGCCCTTGGGTTTAGTAGCCTGAGGTGTCCCCCAGAGCCCCCGGAGAGTGGCTTCTAGGGCCTGCTGGGTGGGGGGGCAGATCGCAGAAACAAAGGACAGGAGGCAGGAACCGGCCAGCCGGCTCTACCCAGAGACCCAACAGTGAAGCATGCCAGAGAGAAAGAGAGAGGGTGGGAGCAGAAGAGAGGGGCTGTTCCCTAGGGAGGGAAGCTGGAGAGCTGGTAGGCTGGGAGGGGGCCCAGGGTCTTTCTCCCTGCTGAGGGTGAGTACGGACTTTCGGGCAAGGGAGGTGTGGAATGATCTGTAGGAGTGGGGGTGGGGCACTCATAAGAACAGATCTGGCAAGTTTCCCATTACAGCATCTCCGACAGGATGCTTGAGGCTGCAAATACAGTGTCTACTGAAGCCGAGACTGGGTAGGGAGGGGCAAGGAAGAGGAACCCAGCGGCAGCCCTTGGTGAACCAGGCAGGCGTGGTACCTCCCCTCATTTAATAGACCACGTAGTGTGTACTGAGAGAAGAGATCATTTGCCTATGGACCCACATTCATCTTTTTGACATATTTATTGAACACTTACTATGGGTCAGGTGCTGGGATCACAACTGAGAACAAAACAAAAGCTCCTGCTCTCCTGAAGGTCACAGTCAAGCCTGGGGTGGGAGGCCGGTGGGGTTGGGGGGCAGTAAGAACACACCTATCAGTGAATGACACATTTTCTTGGAAGGGGAAGAGTGTAGTGAGAAAGTAGGGTGAGATACAAGCGGTCTGGAGTCAGGGGTGTCATTTTAAATGGGAGGGAGGGGGGAATGCAAGATGGCCCCCACTGAGGAGTAAGTGGGGCAGGAGACATGTGCAAAGGCCCTGAGGCAGGAGCGAGCCTCCATGTGTAAGTGCCAGTGAGGAGGCTGGTGCAGGTGCTGGGGTTGGGGAAGGCGAGAGCGGAGGAGAAGCTGGGGAGACCAGGCAAGTTGCAGGGATTCTGCAATTGCAAAGCACCCTGTTAAGACTTTGATTTTTTTTTTCTTTTCTTTTTTCCCCCCTCAGATCCAGAAGGAAACTTCTGGAAGGTGTGAGGCAGTGAAGAAGGAGATTGAGGCAAGCTAGGATGGGGGCCCACCAAAGCGGTTGCTGGAGGTGGTGGGAAGAGGGCAGATTCTGCACATGGCTTTCCCTGAGGATTCGGAGGGAGCAGTGAGGGTGACAGGTGCCGAGTGTGACCTCATCGTTGGCCTGAGTGGCAGAGGGGCTGGGAGTCCCCTTCGGAGAGCTCAGGTAGGCAGTTATACACTAGCCTGGAGTTCCAAGGGGGCGTCTGGAGGAGGCAGAAATCGGGTGAGCAGTGGGTAGACAACAGGTAACCTAGGCCTAGCTCTACCCCTGCCCCTTCCTGGCCCCAGGACCCCCCGGAAGGCCACCCTAGTGCCCTCCCCAACCCCTTCGGCCTGGCCCTCGACTGCCAGGTCCCAGGTGGTCCAGCGCGGGCCTCTCCTCATGGATTCCCCTCTAGGGGGCCCGAGAATCCCAGGAGCAGTCTGGTTCTTCCTGTTCTAGGCCAGGAGTTGGGGGTCAGGTGAGCGGGCGGGGAGTGTAACACAGGGTGTCCCGGGGTCCTGGCCTGCCTCCCTCCTCAGCCTCGGGTGCAGGGACTGACCTGGCCAGACCTGGGGCTGGTGCCATGTACGCCTCCCAAAACCCGCGTCGGGGTGGGGCCAGCACCTTTGGACCAGGTGACCAGGCCACCTGTGGGCCTGTCCGCATCTCCCGAGTGCCTTCTGCGCACCAGGCCCATCCTGCATCTCATGTGTGCACTCCTGCCCTCCTGCCTGCAGGCCGGGCTGGCGGTTAAGCTCAGGCTCTCCCCTGCCCTGCCCTACAATATTCTAGGGGTGTTCTCTGCTGCTTTGGACACGGGAATCTTCATCTCCAGCCCTGTCTAGTAAATGCTTCTTGTAATGAAGTAGGAGTGGGGGTGCGGGGGGCTGGGAAGTGGGGAGGTGCAAATGCCATTTCAGTTGCTCTGTACACCCCAAGGTGGCCTCAGGCCGTGGGTTCTGGAACTCCCAGCTCCCACATTGGGAGACCGGAGCCAGCGAGGCCCCTGGGAAGGGGCCGTCCTCACCCCGTTTTACTGACGTGGGCTAGGTGGGGAGCCTGGCTGCCTGAGCCAGGGGTCTTCTCCCTGGGGGGCTAGGACACGGGGGCTACATCTGGGGTGGCCAGGGGTGGGCTGGGGACGTGGTCTACTCCTAACTCCAGCAGACGGTGGGGGGACCCGACAGGGGAAGCACACAGGAGCCCGAGGCATCCGCCTCTGCTCCCCGGAAAGTTCTGAGGCGAGTACTCTGAGCGCTTGAAGACAGGGACGTGGTGACGGCCAGCTGAGGAGCAAGGGACAGGCCGTCTGGGGAGTTGGCAGGAGCCGGGGATGGGTCAACAGGCCTTCTTCTGTTTGGATGGGAGAAAATGGGGCCGGGACCTTAGCCACAAATAGTTGAGGGTCCTCAGAGCCTCTCCGTGGGCCTGGCTGTTCCTGTGTCTGAGGTGGGGAAGCGACGCAGGGGGTGCACCGGACAGGTGGGCCGGGGACTGTCAGGGTCTGGGTCTTAGAGCACGTCCCGGTGAGCCCCAGGGGGGCCGCGGGGGTGGGTGGGCGATCAGCACGTGGCCAGCCGGTCGCACACCCAGCCGTCCAGCCGGCTGCCGCAGAAGGCATCATTCCACTGCCCGGAGCCCTGCATCATCACACAGTCCTCGCCCTGGCCCCCGTTGTTGGGTTCCCCCGGCCGCCAGTTGCTGCAGCAGAAGACTTAGGGTCAGAGGGTGGAGGTGGGGAAGGAGCCCTAGTGCCTTCAGTCTAGACTCATCCCTCAGAGTCTGGGCCCACCCCCCCATCCCTGCAGCCCAGCAATACCCTCCCCCCACAGGCCCTCACCTCCACCTGGGCCTGCCTGCCCCCCAAGCTGGCCGTTGCTGAGAAGCACCCCCTCCCTGAGGCCCCCCTTAAGTTCTCCCTCCTCACCTATAGTTCAGGGGTTCCTTGTCCATCCATATAAACTCCCCCTCCCTGTCCAGGTCCCGAAGGCCAATCCAGGTGCCCTTCCTGTTGGCATGTCTGGCCAGGAAGTCCTGGGGAGAAGGACAGGCCTGGAAGTGCCGGGGAGTTGTGCCCAGGTCCCTCCCACAATGCAAGAGGTCGAGGTGGGGGTCCACAGCCCCCGCCCATGAGCTCGGGCTCACCTGCTCCTCTTGGCTGTGGATGCTGACCAGCTGCCCTTGCAGTTTGCTGCACGCAAACCGGGCCTGGATCCACCTCTTGGGGTCCTCACCGAAGTAGTAGCACTTCCTCTGGAAGCTGACCCACTTCTCGGGGCACGTGTTACAGGTGGAGCCTGGGGTGGAGGAGAGGCTCAGGGGGGCAGCTGTGGTGGGCACCGTGGTGGATGCTGTGGCGGGCGCCATGACGGGCACCGTGGCGGATGCCGTGGTGGTCGCCATGACAGGCACTGTGGTGGATGCCGTGGCTGGCACCGTGGTGGGCGCTGTGGCTGGCACCGTGGTGGGCATCGTGGCTGGCACCATGGTGGGCGCCGTGGCTGGCACTGTGGTGGGCGTCGTGGCTGGCACTGTGGTGAGTGTTGTGGCTGGCGCCATGGCCGGCACGGTGGGTATGATAGGCAGAGTGGGTGGCAGCGTCTCTCCTGGAGTCACCCCTGGGGTCCGGGCTGAAAGCAGACCCACCCCAGAGCCTAACAAAGGCTTGCAGGCTGCCTTCTCCGGGGCTCTGCCGCCGACGGGCAAGACCAGCTCCCTGGCAGGAGCACCTCAACAGCCTGCAGCATTGCCACAAAGACCCCCCTCCCACACCCCCACCGGAGCAGCATGCCCGCCACGGACACCAACATCAAGGGGGTCCTGGCCAGCAACACCTCAGCCTCTGCCAGCGCCATCCCCCACAAAGTGGCCCACAGCCAGCCACGTATCCGTCACCATCAGCATCCCCATGTCACCAGCTCTGTGGCCAGTGGCCCCTCAGCCACCAAGCATCACCAGAAACCCCTTCACAGTCAGAAGCACCTCCACTGCCAACACCATGGCAGTGATCACCAACCCCTGCCTGCGACACCTGCGTCACCACCATCATCACCAGAGGGGCCCAGGATGGCCAGCAACCTCTCTCTGCTGCGACCACCACGGCCAACACCAATGCCGATGTGGTGAGGCCAAGATTGCCAGCATCACTTGCCCTGTGATTTGTCCCCATTAATGGCTCCAATAATAGTCCTGGTCACCCTTGCTACCAGCACCCCCAAAATCAGATTCTTGCCATGTTTGGGGAAATGGAGATGATTTTTGTCTAGTTGGAGGCACCGTGGAGAGCTTATGGAGGGGGCTCCTGAAGGGCTGGGTCCGCTTGGTCTCGACCGTGGGCCACCTTGGTCTCTGTCTCCTCTTGTCCCCACCCTGAGGAAACTCTTAGACACTGTCACCACCACCCAGCCCTCCCAGGTGCGAGGTTAAACCCACTGTTACTGGGTTGACTCGCTCTTGATTTGAAATAGATTTTCTTGGGCGCCTGGGTGGTTCAGTTGGTTAAGCGACTACCTTCGGCTCAGGTCATGACCTTGGAGTCCCGGGATCGAGTCCCATATCGGGCTCCCAGCTCCACAGGGAGTCTGCTTCTCCCTCTGACCCTCCCCCTTCTCATGCTCTCTCTCATTCTCTCTCTATCCAATAAATAAATAAATAATCTTTAAAAAAGAAAATAAAATAGATTTTCTTGGAATGATGGGCAGAGAGGGCCCATAGCTTTGGTGGAAGTTTTTAAGCGGCTGGGGGTCCACAACCTCAATGAGGAACAAAGCTGGATGTGTTTCCGACCAGGAACCAGTGACCCGTATGTGGCCCTTGGTGCGGGGGGTGGGGCACCTTAAAACAGGAAGCGAGTATCTCTGGGCACTTGAAGAAAATTTTGATGGGGGGCGCCTGGGTGGCTCAGTCAATTGGGCGTCCGACTCTTGATTTCTGCTGGGTATCATAACCGCGGGGTTGTGAGATAGAGCCCCGCATCTGGCTCTGTGCTCAGCGAGGAGTCTGCTTGTCCCTCTCGCTCTGCTCCTCTCCCTGCTCATGCTCTCTCTCTCTCTCAAATAAAGAAAGAAATCGAATTTGGGGCCGGCGGGCAGAAAACTTCGAGGAAAGTGCCCTGGCTGCGTGTTGCATAGTCACCCAGAGACAGCCCTGGAGCTGGGCTCAGACCCCAGGCCTCCCCAGGGACCGGGGAGGAATTAGAAGATCTTCCATCAGAGAGAACGTGGTCCAGAGCCCTCCCCAGAGGGACCACAGCCGGTGGTCCTTTTTTCTTGTTGGGATTCCCACAGCCACACAGTGTCCCAGGGGACTGAACTCCTTCATACCAAGCACAGAGCCTTCCTCTTTTCTTTGCCACTTGGGGCAGCTGGGGCTTCCCAGAGGTGGAAAACCAAAACTCAAGGGAGGGGGTGAGGGTGGGGAGGACATCAGGGCAGCAACACCCGGGTTCAAGGCGCACTGATTGACTGTCTGCTCTTCCTGCAGCCTCTTGGGACGGCCCCCCAACTCATGACAACCAGCATCGCCCCCATCGCTGCAAAGGTGAGCCCGCCCTTGGCCCCACCCCTGGCTGGGTCAGACAGTCTTCGGGGAGGGGCTGTGGCTGAGGGCGTCATGCTGCTGACTCTCCTGCTGAGCCACAACAGGCAGAGGAGAGAGAGGCAAGAGAACCCAGAGATGGTCAAACAATGCTTTTACCTGGAGGAAAAAAGCGTTCGAGCGCCCCCCGCCCCTGCACCTGCTCCAGGTCCGAGGAGGGAAGCAGCTGGACTCATAAAGAAACTCACTCTCCTGTGTCCCCCAAGGACCCTGCCACACACATGAGCGCACACCCGGCCATGTTGTCACGTGAACACGTCTATCACACGTGACCTCACCCATGCGTTCCCATGCACGCACCGACACACCAACTCACCGTTGGACACATGTAGCTCTATCCACAGCTTCAGCACCTCCTGCTGGAGTCTTTCCAACGAACGTAGGGCTGTGTGTCTCTCGTTCAAGCCTTGGGAGATTGGATGGGGGACAGTGGTCAGAGACGAACTGGCAACGCCCCCCTCCGTCCCCCCCACCCCCCAGCACCTCCCAAGGCTCACTCAAGGACTTGAGGTTGCTCAGGTCCAAACGAAGTCCGTCCAGGTTCCGGGAGAGCTCAGAGTCTGATGGGGGTGGGCTGGTGTCAGGGTTGGGAGTCCCAGAGCCCCCAGCCTCGTGGTGTCTCCCAGCTTTAGCACTCCCCACATCCCACACCCCTCCAGCCTCCCCAATTTCTCACCCTGAGCTTTCATTCTCTTCTGTTCAGCTCGGATTTCCTCCATGTTCTGTGATACCTGGGCAGCTGGTGGCGGGGGAGGGGGCTCAGTGGTAAGCAAGTCCTCCAGGTCCTCCCCAGTCTCCCAGCCCCCCCTGCCCCCCAGCCCCCGTGTCTTCAGGGTCACCTGCTCATTTTGGAGTTCACAGGTGGTCTACACGGTGCCGCAAGTTAATCCAGGTTTCCCCTCCCCCCAGCCCTCCCCTCCTCCTAGACCCAAGCTGCCAGCTCTCACCCTGGGATTTCTGAGCCATCTGGTCACCGTTGTGTCTTTCCAAGTCCTTGGAAACCTGAGAGACTGGGGCAGCAGGAGAGAAGGTGTGCCCTCAGGAGCCAGGAAGCCGATTCCCGAATCGCTCCCCGGCCCCAGCCCCAAGTGCGGGGACCCCTCACATGGTCACAAGACCTGAAGATTTTCGTTTTTCATTTTTGGGGCAAAAGTGCTCAGGAAAATGCAGCCAAGAATAGAATGAACACGTGTACCTTCCCCCCCACCCCCGTCCAGAATGAAACATAAAAGCAGCAGGTATTTCTCGAAAGTTCACTGGACATGGTCTCAGTGCTTCGAAGGTCTTAGCTTGTTTCTGCCCCGAGAGCCCTGAAGTGATGCCCATTTTACAGGTGAGGAAACCGAGGCCTGGAGCAATTCCAGAGCACTTCTCCGTCAGGCACTTCTCAGAGCCCACTCCCCTCCAAGAGTCTCCGGGTTTTCATTCCCAGGGGAGTGGGAAATGCAGGCTGACCCTCAGTTCCCGGGGTGGGGGGTCGCTGGAGCCCAGTCCTTCTCCCACTGCCCACAGTGGTCAGTGGCAGAAGCAGGACAAGAGACCCTTTCCCCGCCTTGACCCCTCCATACCATTCCGAGCAGCGGTTACTTCTAGCTGTCTCAGATTCTGCACGGTGTCCCAGTCTGGGGAGGAGAGAAGAGAAGGGGAGGAGACGGGTTTCTAGATGCCCGCGGCCATGCACACCCCACCTGTCAGCTGGGGATGGAGGCCTTGGGCATAACGTGTGGCAGGTGTGGAAAGGGCAGGAGACAGGGGTGCTGGACAGGGCAGGGAGCTCTCCAGGGTGGACAGAAGGGGCTTGGGAGGAGGCTGGTGGGGACAAGGCAGGAGACACGATGGGAAAATTGGACTCCAAGGGCTGTGCTGGGCTCCCTGGGGTCGGAAAGTGGGCTTCTGGGAGGGAACACAAGAGGGAGACCGCATGGGGCTGGGGTGTCCTCACGCCAGAAGAGAAGCAGGGCCAGCAGCCCGGCCCACAGCAGGACGGTCGCCAGCCCCAACAGCGCCAGCTGCACTCTCTGCCCACAGCATCGCCGCCTTCTGGAAAACTTTGGGAACTCTGCTGGGTCTGGGGAGAGCGCCAGGGGGAGAGGGTTGAGCCTGGGCTTGGCCATGCCTGTCTCCCCATCACCCAGAGCCCCTAAGTCCTGGGAGCCTGTCCAGAGCCCACACGAAGGCAGTGGATCTCAGAGGACGCCCCAACCTCCTCTGCACGCCTTGCCTGCTGTCTGTCGTGCCCACCAGCGAGCACCCCAACGCCTGACTTTGTCCCTCTCTGCATCCGTGTGTCTCCGACTCCGTCCAGCCCCATGTCTGCCCCTCCTTCTGCCCACCCCCCAGTGGCCAGCAAGCCTGACTGGGGGCCAGGTCACTTCCCAGGAAGACAGGCCTAGGACCAGGAGCCTAGACCCTTCCTCCACGGACCCCTCCTCTGATGGCCGACCCCCACCCAGAGCTCACCCGTGGTCCTCTTCCCTTTTGTGGGTTCAGTTACCCCCTCAGGCCCATGCTAGATCTCCAGCCTCATGCCCAGAAATCTGGGCCCTCCTTCCCCTTGGACAGCCAGCCCTCATCCTGGTCCTGGCCCAAACGCAGGGCACCAGGGTTCAGTTCTTCCTCAATACCCAAGCTCTTTCCCAGCCTTTTCCCTGGATGTCGGACCCCCCCGGGGGACTCATCCCAATCTCTGAGTCACCCAAGACCCTACCTTGTGGCCCCACTGTGGGTCCGGGGCCCCTCCCCTCACCCTGGCTGGGAGGATTCATCATGCCGAATTCCCCTTGTTCTGAGGCCCTGTTCGACTTGGCTTCCAATCCTACTGGGCTCCCGGCACCCTAGCTGGAGCGGTTTTGTTGTTGGAGGCCGTTGAGTCAGGGAAGGGAGGGGCCTGTGGCTTCCCTCTCCTGCCTGGCTCTGGGCCCAGAGGGCCAGTCAGGGCTCACCTACCCCTGGCCCCTGGCTGGGCCTTCTTCCCAGAGAGAGACCCTGGAGCCCCTCTCCTCTCTTGGGTGAAAGGTAGGGGGTCAGCTGCTTGGTTTTGCCCATGTCAGCTCCAGAGAGTCCTCTCACCTGAGTATGAGTGCTCCTCCATGGCAGTCTTGCTTGGATTCTCCCAGTGACGGGCTGCTCACCACCGGACAAAGCAGTCAACTTAACAGGTAATAGCTCTGGCCGGGAGCTGGGTTCTAACGAGCAGGAAGGTTAGATGTCAGGCTCCAGACCTGAGCAGCTCAGTGACCATTGGCTGATTGTGCTCAGCCCATCGCCAGGAGTCAATGTTGCATTTAACTGCGAGATGCAGCTGGTATGGCGGGTCACAGGCCTGACACCAGAGGTAGGCACCCCAGAGTCTGGCACACGTTGGGTACACAGCAGGTGCTCGAAAAATGTGGTGAATGACTGAGCCTCAAAACCGACTTCCTCATCCATAAAAAGCCAATGTTAAGGACACCTATGCCCTAGGGCTGTGAGATACTCCTCATGAATATGTAAATTGCTCTCAATAAGGCCTGACCATAGCCCCAAAAATAAAATCAGCTTGTTCCTATTGCTGCCTGTGCAACCTTGGCCTGGGACCCCACCTTTCTGAGCCTCAGTCTCCCCTCTATAAAATGGGAATGATGATCGCATCCAACTCAGGAGGTCGTGGAAGGATCAAACGGGTAATAACGTGCATGAGGCTTTCAGCGAGGTGCCGCTCGCACACAGTGAGTCTCCAGATCCTAAATGTTTATCAGGCATGTGCTGGGAGGCGCAGAAACTCCGCCACTAGACCTCAGCTTCCTCCTCCGCCAACGTGCTCAAGGCATCTTTAGAGTCTCTTGACTTTGGGGCGCCCGGGTGGGTGTCAACACTTGGTTCCGACTCAGGTCATGATCTCAAGGTCGTGAGATCCGGCCCCTGAGGTGGGCTCTGGACTCAGTGGGAGTCTGCTTGGGAATCTCTTCCTCGGCCCCTCCCCCAGCTTGTGAGCGCTCTCACTCTCAAATAAATAGATAAATCTTTAAAAGTCTCTTGACTTTAAAGACTGTGCCAGTGACTGTGGGGTTGGGGTCAGACAAGCCTCTTGTCTGAGGTTACTGGCTGCCTCGCTTGCTGTATGACTCTGGGGAAGTTGCTTCCCCTCTTCTGAGACTTGGGGAAGTGGAGGCGTGTGGTGGCCAGACCCGATTAGCTGCGGCTCCAGCTGGACCGTTCGCCCACATGGAAGAGGTGGGAGGTGTCAGCATCCCACCGCCCAGCCTGCCTGAACCCACACCAGACAGACCTGGGGCTGAGTTCCGGCTTCTCTCTGAATGCGCAACTTAGTTGGCTCGTCTGTCAACTAGGGGTGACAGGGCCAACCCCACTGGGTGAAGACCGAGGCGGTGCGCGAGGTCCTGGTGCGCAGTCGCTGCTCAGTTAACCTACTGGTGGGCTGCTGGGGAAACTAAGGCACCAAGAAAGTCACTCGTCCATGTCACGCAGTGGTGGGAGCAGGACTTGAACCCAGGACGTGGGACACTGGAGCCTATTTACTCAACCACTGGTGGGGGGTGTGTGGCGTGGGGCACATGGCCTCCTGGTCTGCTGGTAACCAGGCTTGAGGCCAGGCCCTCTCTCTAACTCCGGAGCTCCCAGCCCTGCTTCTGGCCTTCCACGGCTCCCTACGATCGGCCCCCAGCGCACCCTCCAAACTCATCGGTTCCTTGCTGTCATGCCAGGCACTGGCTTCCCCTTCCCCAGCCCAGGACCCCGCACCTCCGGAGATCCCGCCCACACCGCTCGCTGCCCTCCCCTCAAGCAGAGCTCCTTCTGAGTATCCCTCAAGACTCAGCCTGGAGCTCGCTTCTTCCAGGGAGCCTTCCTTGTCCCCTCCCCAGGGCCAGCCCCGACACACACAGGATCACCTATGTGCACACACATTCACACACTCACACACTCAACATGTCTCATGCACTCACATGAGCTCTGAGCGTGTCGCTGTCCTGGCCCGTCGGGGCTGGCTGCAGAGGCCGGTGGGGCTGCGGGCCGTGGTGAGGAGCTTGACCTGGAGAGAGAGTTTCTTCTGAAAGCAGACCCACCCACGGCTTCTATTTTCACCGACCTAATTATGGGCTTGCCACCTGGGTAACCACAGCACACGCATGGCCTCCCGGGGGCTCCTCGCAGCCCGGTGAAGTCCAGACTATGAATAGCTCCCTCCATCATTCAGGTGAGCAAACTCAGGTTCAGGGACGCTAGCCCGCATCCCCAGAGCGCGGGGGGAGGTAAATGGGAGAGTCGGAACAGAACCAAAGTGACTAGAAAGATCCATGAGATCACAGAACATCTTGGTCAAATATCGATGGTTTTGTTATCAAGTTGAGTTTAGTCGTGCCCGGTGCACGTTGCCCAGTGTCCTTGGAGAGCAATTTAATGTCCACAAACACTCTTCAAGGCAGATGCTTTCATTCTTCACGCTGCCTTAGGGTTGAAGGATGTGGGGCCCAGAGAGGTTAGGTAACTTGCCCAAAGTCACACAGCTCATAAACGGCAAAGCCGGGATTTGAACCCAGGTAGCCTGGGTCCCAAGTCTGCATCTCTAACCACCGTTCACCTGGCCTTGTATTTATGAGGACTTCCTGACACCTCACACCTTGCTCGTCCTCCAGAAAATGTATCCTCTGATCTTTAAACGTCTTCCCGGTCTGGTTTGGGGAACATTCCGTGCCAAGCCCCCACTGGATGGGAAGATGCCTGCCCATGCCCCTGTGTCCCACTTCCCAGCTAGGGCCAGGCTGGGGAGGAGCCTGGCTGGAATGCCTCCCTCGTCTGTCACACCACGTTTCAGCACCGAAGGGCAGCCCTCGTATGTGTCTATCGACTGAATGGCTGTTGGTGGACGCTGTTCATTCAGGGGCCCCCGAATGTCCCTCTCAACCTTGATCTGGGCTAATCGTGGGGACTCGGACCCACTGCATGATTGACCAACTGACAGAGGAGGGTCCTTTCATTTTATTTTTTTAAGATTTTATTTATTTGTTTGACAGAGAGAGAGAGAGAGAGAGAAAGCACAAGCAGGAAGAGTGGCAGGCAGAGGGGGAGGGAGAAGCAGGCTTCCTGCTGAGCAGAGAGCCTGATGCTAGTCTCCATTCCAGGACCCTGGGATCATGGCCCGAGCCCAAGGCAGAGGCTTAAGCGACTGAGCCACCCAGGCGCCCCAAGATGGTCATTTTAAGTAGAGAAGAGCATTGTCAGGTGGGTACCAGAGAGGTCCGTCCCTGGGGCTAGACATAAGGCAGCAGGAGGCCTGTGGTGGGGAGGGGAGCCGGGTGTTGTCATGGGGGCCAGGTGGGGGTGTGGACACTGGGGCGCTGTCGCCTTGCCCAGGTGCTGGAGGAGGTGTCTGGGGCGGCTGCTGCGGGAATGAAGAGAAGCGGGTTGGTTTGGGAAGAGACGGGCCTTGGCTAAGGGGACGGTGGGCACGGGGAGGTACTCAGAAGCTGCTGTAAAAATTGACTCGGTCTCATGGGGCGCCTGGGTGGCTCAATGGGTTAAAGCCTCTGCCTTCGGCTCAGGTCATGATCCCAGGGTCCTGGGATCGAGCCCCGCATTGGGCTCTCTGCTCAGCAGGGAGCCTGCTTCCCCACCTCTCTCTCTGCCTGCCTCTCTGCCTACTTGTGATCTCTGTCAAATAAATAAAATCTTAAAAAAAAAAAATTGACTCGGTCTCAGTTGGAGACCCTGGGGGACAGTGGAGCTGTCCTAGTGAAGAGGACACAGGAAGGAGGAGCAGAAAGTTTGGGAACAGTCCCTGTTGGGTCGCAGTGAAGACACAGGACGGGGTAAGGAGTGAGGAATGAAGGATGGGACGGGGGTACCGTTTGGTGTTTTTGAGCGTGTGGGAGTTCTGCGGGCCCCGTGCTCAGTCCCCCGTCCACACTGCTGCCCACCATCCCCACGTGTCCTTCCATCCGGCGATGCTGGGTCCCCGCCAAGACTCAACTTGGACGAGAGGATGCTTTGGGGGTGAAATCTCCGCTCCCCTCCTCGGGGCAGGGGGAGAGGCAGCAACCCTGTCACGCGATGACCCCTCCCTCTTCCCTTCTGTGGTATCAGCCCACCGCTCTGTTCACTTTAAGGGAAAAACAGGAAACCGTGCGGATGTGGGCCCCGATCTGAGGGTGTCGGTTCTTGTCGGTTCTTCTTTCGGGTTTGGGATCCTTCAGCCTGGGGCAGTCCTCTCACTCGCCGCAGATCAGGATCCGAGGAATGAACCAGGGGTTCGTAAATGATTCACAGGCAGCTTCCCACCCCAGCCCCATCCCTGACCCTACTTGACCCCAACTCACCCCCAAGGAGGTTCTGATCCCCAGCCTTTCCCCGCTGTGCTCTGTGCGGAGAAGCTGCAACCACCCCGCTAAGCTTAGAGCCTCAGCACCTGGGACAGGGCCCGGTGTCCATTGCAAATGTGATGAAGGAACATTTCCTCCCGGACCCCAACCCTGACCTTGACCCCAACCCCATCCAGGTGGCACAGCCCAGAGCTTACCCCACCGGATCAATGTCTCCTGGTGAGGCTAAAGGGAGAAAGGAAGGGGGTGTGTGGGGGGCGGGAGGGAAGTGCAAGGAGGAACTGCAAGGAGGGCTTGCAGGAGGATGTGTCTCTGAAAGCGGGTTTCTCATCCTCAGCTCTGCTGGCATTGGGGCAGGATGGTTCCTTGTTGTGGGGAGTGGGGCTGTCCTGTACACTGCAGGATCTTTAACAGCCTCGCTGGCCTCTACCCACGAGCTTCCATTAGCCGTCCCCCTTCCACCTAGTCATGACAGCCAACAATGTCTCCAGACATCACCAGATGCCT